CTATTTTTGAGCTCTAAAATCCTATTTTTGATACCAATTGATTATGATTATTATAAAAATGATTTTTCATAACAAAAATGATGTTTTTAACAAATTAAAACATTATGTGATGCATGACGGTAAGTTCGGGTGTTAACACTCGAGACTAGGCCGCTAATTGTTATTAAATGTTATGTTAAATGATTATTATGATGAACTATTATTGTGGCCAATTATGAATGATTAACCTACTGATTGGTATGATTATTGATTAAATCATAATTAAAAATGGATATAATGATGATTATGAAAATGATGTATATTGTTAAGGATATCTAGAAGAACTCTAAGATATACCCACTTGTATAATGATGATGATTATTAAGGATATCTAGAAGAAGTCTAAGATATACCTCCTTGACCAATTCATATTTCGGTGTTAAAACGTACGTACGGGATCTGATGGGGAATAACCCCACACCAGCCTAGGGCTGGCATCAGCATAAATTTCCTAAGTGTCGGGCTTGGACGTTCCTGCCCGGCCCAGAGCTCCGCTCGTCCTTCCTGCCCGGCTCTGCGCTCCGCTCGTCCGTCCTGCTCGGCTCTGCGCTCCGCTCGTCCGTCCTGCTCGGCTCTGCGCTCCGCTCGTCCGTCCTGCTCCGCTCGGCCATCCAAGCCAAGCCCGAACCCCGCGACAACGACGTGCGAAAAGCGACGTTCAACGAAGACTTGGTGAAAGCGATAGGATGAAAGGGACAAGACGTAAGGACAGGTGACGTCCGCTAGACGACGGGCATCGATTAGAGAGCTTTGACTTAGCTTATTTTACCCCCTATAAAAGGGGTGTCACCCCTCATTGTAATGGACCCGATTTTTGAAATCAATATACTCCTACTTTGCATCCTCTCTCTCTCTAAAACTTATATTATTTCATAATCTCGGTGGTTTATAGCCATCAAATTGGTGCTTTCATTGAGAGCAGAGGAACATACTCGTAGGTTAACTCCCAAACGCGAGAATGGTGCAAACAAGGAGCAACGTCCCCACCACCAGCCACGTCGTTGGCGAAGAGAACGCGCCGGGCAGCGGCAATGGTACGGGCGGCATCGGCTCGACTCCAGACGCGGTCCAGGCGCTGTTCGGCTTGGGGGTGACCGCGGAGCAGCTCCAGGCAGCCGTTGCGGCACTTTCCGCCGTGGGTGGGAACGTGCCCGGCGCCGGAGTTGGCAAAGCTCTGCCCGGTCTCCATGCCGAACACGCTGCCACTTCCTAACACAAGGGGAAGAAGACCCGGAGGAGTATAAAGAGGCTCGGCAAAGCCCAGGTGTTCGAGGAGGTGATAGTGGAGGACATTCCCGAAGGGGGAGACGATGAGTCCAGCGAGTGCCGAGTGTCGGCCTTCAGGCGCTTAGGAGGTGAAGAGACCCGGGTGTCGGCCTTCGACAGGCTCGACCGCAGACCGGAAGTCCGCCCGGGTGACCTCCACCGACAAATAACCGAAGGCAGGCGGAGGCATGCTGAGGAGTCCGCGACGTCGGATGCTCGCTCGGCGAGGCCCGAGCGGAGCAGAGAAAGGCGGGACGAGCGCACCCAGCGTCGCCATAGTCCAACAAGAACTGAGAAGACAAAGGCCTCTGACCAAGGGGTATCTCGGCTCGCTCGTGAGATTGCCGAGCTCAAGCGCCGAGTGGAGACCAGGGCTCCCTACAGCCAGCCCATCTTGCGGACGGTAACCCCGTTCACTCCGAGGGTAATGTCGGTTCCGATGCCGGCAAACTTTCGGCCGTGGCAGATCAAGGCCTACAACGGAACGACGGACCCCCAAGATCATTTGTCTAAGTTCTATGCTTCCATGGAAGCGGCGGCAGCCCCGAACGAGGTCAAGTGCCGATGCTTTCTCACGACGCTAGAGGGCTCCGCGTGCGATTGGTTCAATCGGCTCCCAAAGGGAACCATTGACGATTGGGATACGCTAGCGGAGAAGTTCTTGACGCATTTCGCAGCCAACCGAAGGCAGAGGCTACCTTACTCCCACCTGCTCAACATCTGCATCCGTAAAGGAGAGAAGATCCGCGACTTCATAACCCGGTGGGAGAAGGAAGCCGGAGACGTGCACGTGGCGGATGACTAAGCTTTGGTGGCCATGTTCCAAGCAGCCCTTCCCTGCGGGGAGGTGAGGAAGGAGCTCCGCAAGAATCCTCCCCCCACGTACCAAGAAAGCTTGGCGCGCGCTAAGTTCTTGGCCTTGGAGGAATTCGATGATGCCCCCGACTCCGAGGCTGTGCCGGCCAAGCCAGCCCCCACAGATTCAGAGGAGATAGCGAAGAAGAGGAAGAAGAAGAAAGGCTACACTGTGGGCCCGAGGACGCCCTCGGCGGGTGTGTATTCTGTGGGTGCGTTCGTAGGGACGGGTCGAGAGCTGGCCCTCTCCCCGCTCCCGCACGTAGAGACCTATGCGGTGTCCAGCGGCGCCAAGTATTGCGAGTATCATCGCAACAACACTCATAACACTAAGGGGCTGTTTGGCAACTTCTGAATGGGTAAGTGCTGAACCAGTAAGAGGTCTGAATCATTAAGTGCTGAACTAGTAAGAGGTCTGAACCATTAAGAGCTAGTATATTGCTTAACTATTCAGAGGCAAATGTCTGATCAATTCAGATAACAGCTCTTAACCATTCAGACTCTGTATAATACTTAACCATTCAGAGGCAAATCTCTTAACCATTCAGACATCTGAACCATTAAGAGGCTGAAACAAACAGTCTGAACCATTAAGTGCTGAATCATTCAGACATCTGAACCATTAAGAGGCTGAAACAAACAG